TTAAAGTCTCCAAGAACCACTACCTCCGCAGATGGGTACTGCTCAAGCACGCGGTTAGTCCCCTCTTGCACATGCTCAAACAGAGCTGAACCTGCATCACTGCTGTGGGACCTGTACAGGCACGCGTAGATTCGGCTACGGCCATTTGGAATAACCCCTTAGGTTACCAGCGAATAATTAGGGAAAAAAGCTAAGATTAACACCATTGATGACGATGCCTTTTTGGCCACTGGTCACAAGTTAGAATGTGATTTCGTTTAATCGTCTAGTCTAATGTAAATGCTTAATTTCTTGCTGAATTTTCGAAGCTCGGAGCCTCAGAAATTAACAATACGAACGCAAAACAAATTCGCTCGCAATTTATTCAGTTTTACGAACCTTCACAAACACGCCCTGTCATTTATTTGTTATGGACGAATCAAGAACGTGTTTCGTAACCGCTTCCTTTGACCGCGTCGGATCGCGCTAATTCTAATAAAGTGAACAACAAATTTTAATAAAATCGTGAAAGACGTCTAGGAATTGTGAGCAACGGCCTGCTTAGTTACCATTCTCTCGTAATCGAATCAGTAGTTATTGCTAAGATAGATTACTGTTTATATGAATACTCTTTTAGACGTATGGGCCACTGATTTGGTACAAAGGAGCACACGACGTGAATATCTCAAGACGTACTCTAATAGAAAACAGAATAAAACACATTAGACAGAACAAAAGTTCCAGAAGATTTGATGTAGATTATGTATTGGCTAGTAGATGGGTAGGCTCACGAGCTCAACCTGAGAGTGCGAACACTAGCCTTAGCAAGAGCAGTGCTTCGCAGAATCTACCACCAGATCAGAATCGCGACACGCTGAAATGGTCCGGCTAGAAACTCAGTTTACTGATTGACCTTGATTAAAACATATTGTGTTTATTAGACAATAGCGACCCGCCCTCGCTTCGCTTCGGAAACTGTAATTTATTATTGATTTCTCACTATTTAATGGATGTTACATACATACATATAAACCTTCCTCTTTAATCACTCTATCTATTAAAAAAAACCACATCAAAATCCGTTGCGTAGTTTTAAAGATTTAAGTATACATAGGGATATAGGGACAGAGAAAGCGATTTTGTTTTATACTATGTAGTGATTAGTACTAGACTGCCACTGATTATTCGAAACACCCACTGTTGAAAGATGAAGCGCGTCACTTACCGCACTTGATGGTACTATAACAAAAATACTCAATGAACTAGGAACAACGACAAAATTTCGTCTCGATCGGAGAAAAGGCGCGAGCATGTGGATCGCCAGCAAATAAAGATACATTCCTGTGCGTATAATCTATATATTTGTATAATCTATATATTAATACGTGAAGCAAAAACTTTGTATCCCTTTTTACGAAAATTGCGCGGACGGAGGAGTATGAAATTTTCCACACTTATAGAGAATATAGAGAAGAAGTGCACAATACTAATATTTTTTTAAAATAATGCATAAAAGATACATTAAATCAATAAAGAAAACATTATACACACTACATACCATGTATTTAACGCACACATGCATGCATAGTATTTATTGTCAAACTTTTGTTCTTGACGTCTGTTGTCAAATTCAGAATAGATTAAATATTGTTTTTCTTTGTTAATATTTTTTGTAGTGTATTCTTGGCAAAATTTGTGATTATAGAAGTATAAAATACAATCATAATAGTGTACAAACTTACAATTCCAATTAATTATAGGCGAATTTCGACTACTGCGGGACCTCTAGTATTAGATTTTAATGTAATTTTACAGGCATTTATTGGATAATACTTAGGGTGTATTTATTGCATTGCTAACAAAATCGATAAATGCAAGCACGCTATGTAAATTTGATCTCAACATTAATAAAGTTATTATAACTTTCCAACGAATATTATACGGGAGTATTATTTATTTTTCTGATTAGTGAACCCCTGCTAAACTTTAAATTATCTTTAGGAGATTTGTAGTTGTATTTTTATCTCTGTTTATACTGATTTTGTTTGTAGCGTTGTTGTCTTATTGTGCTATTGTTTTATATTATAATAATTGAAATTTAATGGAGTATTTTTTATTGTACTAAGGGGGCGTTTGAGATCATGACCCGTTGTTAAGATTATTGGAGAAAACAGACATTAAAATTTAGGGGAAATGCGATCAATTCGATTGATTTTTTTTATGTGTGTTATAACTTCTAGGTGATTTTTTTTCTAGGTAAATTAGGCCTTTGATGATTTTTTATTTTTTTATTTGTAAGTTTGTACTTCCCTTTTTCTGACCAGTAACTACTTTTTGAGTTACCCTTAATAATGCATATTAACTAAATTTTACATTAGGAAGTCGATTTTCTTTTTTGATTAAAAATTTGTATTAAATTTATAGTTTTCGATTTAATCTTCATATATTGCTTTGATGTATCGTTTAGTTTGTGCATACGTTTTCATTATTCCTGTCAATCTATCGGTTTTTTAATAATTTTTTGATATAAAAACCGATCACTTAAATTTTTTGAAAGATTTTTTTAAAGACATTTATTATTGATGCACTGATGTCAAGGGGTTCATATTTTGACTTATAGAAATATATATATTTTTTTTTTAAATAATTTAATTTTCTGTATTCTAAACGGCAGCTTCATAGATACAGACAGACAGACCTTATATTATTTTTGACGTTTCGAACACTTTACAGATTCACGGACACTGATGACTAATAGGTAAAATAAATTACCTAAGCTTTTATTTTCATGTATGGTACTCCGACCCAACTGATTTTGCTGACGTAATTTCCGCGATTAATAAAGTACATATAGTTTATAATGTTTATATGGATTCGTATTGATGGTCTTTATCGTTCTTAATTGAATGTTAGCAAGCCCAACGCCCCTTTTATTGCATGTTTGTTTGTATTGTATTATTATTTTTATATATATGTCGGAGAAGGCCACAATGATTAACACCATCGTCAGACATCGTATGAACGAATATGGTGATCGAGCTAAGAGAAATATTGAGTACACGTTTGTTGTCTTAGAACAATTTAGAAATCTTCTCTTGACGTTAGCAAACGAAAACGAATGACAGTTCTTAGGACGGAGGCACCGCTCTTCAAGAAGGCTGGTTGGTAAATGTGATGGTGTCTACGCGCCTCCATCTGCTAGGCTCTGTCGTAGCACGAAGTTAGCCGGGTTGAGATACCGCAATCGCGCTGCCATCTCTCGGGAATCGTGCTGCGTTTCGTTTAGCTACCAAAGTAATGACCGTCTCCGACATATATACCTAGTCAGGTCATAAATTCTGTCACATGTTTAATGTAAAATAATTGAAACAAGTTTATTCATTATGTAACCATTCATATACCAAAATGAACTTAACAAAACATAGATTCTTATGACACTAAAGTTTATTCAAAATGACTCCGTGATTTTGAATACAGGCCTTCAATCTGCGCGGCCAGTCGTTTATCGCAGTACGAACGAGGTCCATGTCAATATCGGCGGCTGCCTTAATCAAGGATGTCTTGAGTGACTCCAAATTGGGATGAGGCTTTGAGCAGGCCTTTTCCTCCAAGTGTTGCCATATCTTGTAATCTAACGGATTCAAATCTGGACTGGAGGAGGGCCAGTCTTCGTGCCGGATGAAGTCGATTTCACGCGCCGCCAGCCAGTCTTGTNAGATTTCACGGACACTGACGACTAATAGGTAAAATAAAACAATTGTTTATTTTGATGTATGTTGCTCTGATCCAACTGATTTTGCTAACGTAATTTCTGCGATTAACAAAGTACATATTATTATTATAATTTCTATCGATTCGTTATGATGGCCTTTATCGTTCTTAGTTGGAATGTTAGCAAGCTCAACGCCCCTTTTATTTCATGTTAGATTGTAACATTATTATTTATATATAACTACTAGGTATATATAAATAGATACCATTAGCTACTGTTAGCAAATATATATATATATATATATATATACTAACGGTAAAACTTACTGGCGGTAGGACCTCTTGTGAGTCCGCACGGGTAGGTACCACCGCCCCGCCTATTTCTGCCGTGAAGCAGTAATGCGTTTCGGTTTGAAGGGTGGGGCAGCCGTTGTAACTATACTGAGACCTTAGAACTTATATCTCAAGGTGTGTGGCGCATTTACGTTGTAGATGTCTATGGGTTCCAGTAACCACTTAACACCAGGTGGGCTGTGAGCTCGTCCACACATCTAGGCCATAAAAAATAAATAAAAAAAAAGAGCATAAACTTAGAACTCCAGGGTAAGCCACGGAATCGAGTTGTAAATCGAGACCAGGGATTCGCAAATGAAATTATTTCGGGCAAGAGACGTCTTTTCCAAAACGAACCTGGGTACTTCGAACCCCTATAGTCTTTATATTGTCTACTTAGTAAGTTTTTCTTAGACTTTTATTACACGATGTTATTCCTTCACCGTGGAAGTCAATCGTGAACATTTGTTGAGTATGTATTTCATTAGAAAAATTGGTACCCACCTGCGGGATTCGAACACCGGTGCATCGCTCGATACGAATGCACCGAACGTCTTATCCTTTAGGCCACGACGACTTCAAAACTTTACAATATCAACTTTACTATATACTTACTCTATACTGTATATATAGTTTAAGATGCTGGTTTTTGGCCTACTGATACAAAATACTTATGAATCTAATGACTGCGCCGTTGGTTAAGTTCTCGTGTGTCATTGTCCCGATGTAAAACATCAAGAGATGCAAACACAGAGGATCTTCAAAGTCGGTCCAATCGGTCCAATAGAGTCGCAATTCCTTATCTTTTGATTCAGAGCCGAGCAGCGATTAAAATATCCATCGTTATGCACTTTCTTACACTCGCATTTCCACATATAGGAAATAAAACCATAAATACAATGCTTTAGTTTTCTTTTCAATATCTCATTACAAACCACGTTTATTATTTTATATCGGTACCACACCTAATTAATACTCTAGCATACTTCAATTTCTCCTGTGTTATTGACGAATCTCAGAGTGACGTTTTGATCTTTTATTTTCTTTATTGCGCTTCTAACTAGGACCAAGAAGTAGCAATGTGTAACTGTAACAAATAAACACAAAATTATAATTTTCGGCTTTTTAAATTTTAATTGTTAATAGGTGTGCAATAATTGCAACGCTATTCATACATGCTAATGTAATCTAAGCTAAGCTAAGCTCTCTAAATTGGTAGGCGGCAGCTTGGCTCTGCCCCTGGCGTTACTGAAGTCCATGGGCGACGGTAACCACTCACCATCAGGTGGGCCGTATGCTCGTCTGCCTACAAGGACAATAAAAATAAAATAAAAAGTTTACATTACATTACATATATTATATAAAAAAATTATATACTTACAAATATACAAGAAGCTACTAATTACAACAGCTATTCTTGTTGTTTGAAGTTCGACATTGTTGGTACGGGCGCTTAATAGCAATGAAGACATGAGTACCGACAAGACGATGATGATTGAAACTAGAATAATTAGGTAATAATAATAAACTTCCATCAACGTATGCTTTTTCTGAAAAAAAAAAAAAAAACATTTATTATAAATGACATTGACGTATTTGACATTTTACGAAACCTTATTGTTAGACTTCCTTACTGAACATAGACCTATATAGTAGGGACACGACATATTGTTCTATACGTACAATTGCTTATATAAATAGCACCCATTTTGAAGGCACATACATAAACATATATCTATCTCGTTCTTACTCGGCACTTTAACTCGCAGGAAAACAATATAACAGTATTTCAGTGCGTACATAAAATGAAACATGAATATACGTAAATGTCTCCGTCTCCGTCTAATGAGGCCGAAAATCCGCCATGTTTAGCGCGCCAAATGTCATTGTCACGTCAGTTTGGCCGTCTGTTTTGGGTTGTACATTATTTATTGCCTTTGATATCGATTTAATATGATTGCTTATATAAAATTTCTTATTTTATCATGCTTAAAACATACAAAAATAATAATTAAAACATATTTTATAGGATCTCAAGAAAGTCAATGCCCCAAAACTATTATCTATATATATTTAAATTCATTATGGAGCCCTCATCCGAAAAACCGGATACCATTTTTCGGTCGGAATCTATTGATCATGACACTAATCATAAATACCTCTTTAAAATATGTCGTCAAAACATATTTAGACATTCTGTTTAGATATTTCGGGAAACGGGCTACCGAAAAAATCTCTTCAGAACTATTTAAATAAAATAGTTTTATTCCGCAGTGAGTAAAACACTATTGTAAATTCGTTAAATATTTAATAATTAAGTGATTTTAGAGAGGAAGTCACAAGGAATGACGTTTTTAATAATGAATAAATGTTCTGTAGGTGTTTTTTTTTTCACGCGGTCCCTTGATAAGTTTAAAATTTGAATCACTCTCAAGTGAAAGTGATTCAAATGGTGCGGCGCACCTTGCTTGAGGTGCGCTACGGTAGTGTGTTAGGGACTTTAGTCAGCAAAACAATTAAAATAGATTGTAATAGTCTAAGAAAAACACGTGCTCAAAATACGATAACATTTAGCATGCTAGAAATCGGCAGATGGCACTGTACTACGCCATATCTTTATGTTTTGCGACAAACGACAACTTTATACAATCAGTGTAGCAGCTTTTAAAAATCATCATATCGTTTACTTGGCAAATTCGAAGGACGAACTTGTCTTAGATTTCACACATCTAAATCATATCATATTTGCACATAACAATATACCTACTTACTTCCCATTAAAGTATAAATTTTACAAATAATTAATACTCAACAATATTTAAAATAAAATGAGCCAAGAACGTTTATCGATAAAACCTGATAACATTGAAATCTTTTGTACAGCACTAAAACCGCCATGTTTTGTGGCCAGATGACGTCACAGTGGCACGAATTTTTTGTTGACGTTTCATTTCCATAGGTTTCCTACTTCAGTGTTACTGAAAGAGTAGCACGCAAAAAGATAAAACTTGACACTAACTCACCTCGAGACATGAGGTATTAATGGATCGTTTCATCCTTCGTGGTCACGGACCACTAAGGTGTTATTCGTCATTTTCGTTCGTTATTTTTTATTTTATCTATACTAATGTATAAATCTACAGTGGTTTTAACGGATGTTTCGTTATAACTACTGAACCATGCATCCTTGAAACTTGGTATCCATGTAGAAAATACATGCACTTAATGGATAGGCTAATATTTATATGAATGTTGGACTCTCTACACCAGTTGCGGGGGCGTTAATGATGAGAATCTATGTGGGGGTGAGCAATAATAATGTTAATTTTAAATACCCAGCGAAGCTGACCGGTACAGCTAGTAATTTATAACTTTTAGAATGAAATAGACGATAATTGATGGACAATATACTGTTAAGATTCGACACGTCGATAAAAATAATATAGTGAAAAAAAAAGCCAGATTAAATCGTAGAAGTAGTTCTGATTGTGTCTCGCTTAAGCCGCAGATATCGCGTGCTAAGTGTTCGGGCCGTACATATTTGTGACATTTTTATTACCTTCAAAAGCAGACGAGCGTTTTAGCTGTTACCGTCGTTCAAAGATTACTAGAGGTCCCGCAGTAGTCGAAATACGACTATAATTAATTGGAATTGTAAGTTTGTACACTATTATGATTGTACTTTATACTTCTATAATCATAAATTTCGCCAAGACTACACTATAAAAAATATTAACAAAGACAAACAATATTTAATCTATTCTCAATTTGACAACAGACGTCAAGAACAAAAGTTTGACAGTAAATAGTATGCATGCGTGTGTGCGTCAAATACATGGTATGTAGTGTGTGTAATATATTCTTTATTGATTTAATGTATCTTTTATGCATTATTTTAAAAAAATATTAGCATTGTGCACTTCTTCTCTATATTCTCTATAAGTGTGGAAAATTTCATACTCCTCCGTCCGCGCAATTTTCGTAAAAAGGGATACAAAGTTTTTTCTTCACGTATTAATATATAGATAAATAACGCAATGGTTCCAGTTAAACTACTGCCTACCACTAATCACGACACATAATAGTATTCGCTTATTTGATCAGTTAAAAACAAATTTAAATTACCTTATGAGCGGCGATCAAAAATATCACAGTGAAAATGAAGTCGACGCATAACAACGTCAGTAAAATAAGCGGTAAAGTGATAAGTATTAAATGAAAACCAATGAACATCGCCAGCCCTACAAATAGCAGGTACAGCACCGTTATCGTGAAATATACTTCCACTACGATTGCGAGCTGAAAGAAAAAGGGGCAGATTTAATTGTGACTCTTCCTTTGTTTATAGTTGGGTTAGGACGACATCGACTATAGGCGGATCTTGTCAGAGTTGAACTGATTAAAACGTGTAACTTAACAACCATCGTCCAAACTTCGGATGATCCAGTGTTCACTTCTACTGGTAGTAGGACCTCTTGTGAGTCCGCACGGGTAGGTACCACCACCCCGCCTATTAGCTATACACAGCCCTATAAGGAGTAATGCGTTTCGGTTGGGGTAGCCGTTGTAACTATACTGAGACTTTAGAACATATCTTGAGCTGGGTGGCGCATTTACGTTGTAGATGTCTATGGGCTCCAGTAACTACTTAACATCAGGTAGCCTATGAGCTCGTCCACCCATTTAAGGAATAAAAAAAAACACTTGTTCGCACACTGGTCCTGGTTTTCATTCCGGAATGGTTTTTTTTAGCTGATAAAGCGATTGCCGTGCTAACCGTATAGACATTATCTCTGTTCCCTCCATTAAAAGGTAAACTTGCGCATTCACAACAATCTGTGATAATTTTTAGCTTTGAATATAGGATAGATCCATTTAATTTCTACACGTCTAAGCAGACATGCGTATCGATTCGAATTTCGACTCCAAGTCTCAGCGTATGTTCAAACTTACACGTTCGTGATGTCTGTCTATGGATTCCCGTATATTTATAATATCGAATGTATATAAATATATACAGTCAGGCAGATTTTCTGTTTGCGTGTAGCAATTTTGAACAGCTGTCGAACGCTCTTATTTCCAGTCCAGTTTTTGATGAGATAAATTATAAAAGGCACTCACCAATTTGAAATAACCCCAAGCAAGCAAACCTCTTCTGAGGGGTAAACAAAAGCAGCATCTTCGCAGCACAGGTAATTCGAATCTCATTTTTATAATAAACAATAACAATGATGAAATGTATTTCGTTGTAGCAACTACAAACAACAGATTGCCTTATATTTAATTTTGTAATTACATTTTACGAGATAATTACAACTAGTTAATACTCGTGGCATACACCACAGATTTTACAGGTATTTATGAGAGGCTATTTGGGTCACATTGTAAGGAAGGATGGTACAATGGACGGTAATTAGTGGAATTAAGCCAGTCCGGGTAGATTGAACAGTGAATTTTTACCGTGAACCTTTATTATTTGTACCGTAAAGCAGTAATGCATTTCCGTTTGAAGGGCGGGGCAGCCGTTGTATTTTAAAACTGAGACTTAGGTCAAGGTAGGTATCAGCATTTGCGCTATTGATATCTATGTGCTCTGGTGACCGTTTAACACCAGGTAGACCGTGAGCTCGTCCATAGGATAAGGCAATAAAAAAAACACAGTGAGGTCGATTTCGATGATAATTTGCGGAAATCTTCAAATTGGCCTAGTGGATGACCCTGGAACGGCGGGATGGATATAATGTGCTCTGCGTCAATTCTGTCCCGCCGTCTCAATAGCCCCGACTGGGCTCCGGCCCGGTCTAAGGTAGGGCGCCGATTTGGAGCGGTAGGAGTTTTTAGTGAGGTTCAACTCCCACATACCGCGCGGGTGGGGAACCGGCGATTTTCTCCTGTGGAAAAAAAAAGGTGGATGACCCTGTTTTGTAGCGATCGGATCAAAGTTAAATCAAAGAGGCAGAGCGGCCGTTAAAGCTGGTAGAGGTTGACTGGTAAGCAAAAATTACGGTCATTCCAGTGATATAACTACTTCATTTATTTATAGTATTCTGAAATGCTGAGCAGTGATTTAGTAATAACGGCAACATGTATCAACGGATATGTCTCGGAGATTTTCCGTGAGCTTCGCCTACACGTCCGGTAAAACTAGCATAACCATTCAAGATTTAATAGGTAGGCAAAAAAAAAAAAGCTTTTTATATTTAAATTTAGATTATTGTAATGTTTATAATGTTAGATTATTGTATTGTAAGTACATTACACAGGGGCTCCAGTAACCACTTAACATAGACATCTACAACGTAAATGCCGCCACCCACCTTGAGATAAGAGTTCTAAGGTCTCAAGTATAGTTACAACGGCTGCCCCACCCTTCAAACCGAAACGCATTACTGCTTCACGGCAGAAATAGGCGGGGTGGTGGTAGCTACCCGTGCGGACTCACAAGAGGTCTCACCACCAGTAAAATGTAATTAAATGTACTTAATGTTTTGTGGCATAAAATTACAAACAAACGCGACAACCTGCTTTACCAATATCGACTCGATATTAAATTACGCGCTATCACAATTTGCAACACAGTGATACCAATGCCGACAATATCGTACCGAATGAAAATAAATTATCTATGAAACGCAGCTAGCTAAAAAACAAACTTAATCTAAAACAAAATTATAATTTGCGTTATTACTGGTGGTAGGACCTCTTGCGAGTCCGCGTGGGTGGGTACCACCGCCCTGCCTGTTTTCTGCCGTGAAGCAGTAATGCGTTTCGGTTTGAAGGGTGGGGCAGCCGTTGTAACTGTACTGAGACCTTGGAACTTATATCTCAAGGTGGGTGGCGCATTTACGTTGTAGATGTCTATGGGCTCCAGTAACCACTTAACACCAGGTGGGCTGTGAGCTCGTCCACCATATAAGCAATAAAAAAATTATATATATATTGTTGTTGTTTTTTTAAATTGAACTATTTATTTACACATTTTCTTTATCGTGTCACTCTTCTCAGAGCGGTCGTGGTCGTCGGTCAGTATCATTGCTGTGGGCAGATGTTATGTGCCTCACGCCACTTCTCTTGGTTTGTGGTGAGCCTGCTCCACTTACATATACTTTTTTACTTTTTACTGGTGGTAGGACCTCTTGTGAGTCCACGCGGCTAGGTAGCACCGCCCTGACTTATTTCTGCCGTGAAGCAGTAATGCGTTTCGGTCTGAAGGGTAGGGCAGCCGTTGTAACTATACTGAGATCTTAGAACTTATATCTCAAGGTGGGTGGCGCATTTACGTTTGTGGATGTCTATGGGCTCCAGTAACCACTTAACACCAGGTGGGCTGTGAGCTCGTTAATCCATCTAAGCAATAAAAAAAAACTATACATTACATAATTTTTACACTTACACATACATAATCTTGTACTTAGTACTCCAGAGCAAAAGACGATAAAGTTAAGACAGCTTAAAAGGGCCCGTATAGGCTTACTGAATAAAAGACATACATTTTGATTTCCAGTTATTTTTCATGAGACCTACATAATATATGAACATAATCAATTATCATCTTATTGACAATGCTAATAGATTACCACCAATAGATTCACTTTTGGATAGTTTGCTTAAAATAATATTACTGTTCTTTTTGTATTCCCATTAATATTTTATTCAAGACAACTTGTTCCAAATCCATTGAATAAACAAGGCATTTAATGTTTGTACATCTGTAATGGATACAACTTTGTTTGTTATATTATTATAGATTCAGCGTAAAGATAAATGTATTATTATGATTCATGTTCTGGATTATATGGCAGTGAGGGGCAAAGGTCGACTAGTCATCTTTCAGAGCTGATAAACCTTATAGCATGATTACCACCTTGAGACATGCGGTTGATAAATATAACAGCTATTCCATTATTGGGAAGGAAGAACTGCTTTACAACAGAAATCGGCTGGATGGCGGATGGTACTAGCCTATGCGGGCTTACAATACACGCTGTAAACACTTAATACTAAGCGGCCAGTCATTCTAAGTAATAAAAAAAAACAAAAACCTCCGACCGGGACTGATCCAGACCTATAGTGCAGTATAATCAGGTTCACTAATCGCCAGAAAACTTAAGTGGTCTATAAAATAAAAATGACGGTAGTTTAAATGTAGTTATCATAAAAAATATACGATCCGAGTTTAGGATTTATTCTTGAAGTCGCTTATAAACTTCGTTCGCGTTTCGCCAATGAACTGAAAAATATTTCGATATGTGTTTCCGCTATTTGATAATAGATGGCGGTACACTTCTCGAGCGTTCTCGATGTTACTAGTTCTTTTGATATTTATTTTTGCTATTTGACGACAACAATGGCGTTACACTTACCGGCAGAACAATACCTACGAAAGTAATAATAATCCTTATATAAATATACATAAAGTCTGCGTTTTTACCTTGATTCATTAAGCTTGCAACTTGTAAAACCTGGACAAAGAGTAGCAATAAAAAGATAAAACGTTAGATGGTTCTCTTTGAAGGCAAGGTAATCCGCCATGGATTATTTCTCATCAAAGTAATTCTTACTCGAGTATTAAAGACTTGGGGATGGCTATAAAAAAAAAACTGCAAAGCTAGAGTTATGTACGCGTACTAAAATTATTACGACTAGAAGTTTAGTAAGTAAGCCAAGATTCCTTTTAGACTTAGGGTACCGTTAAGGAAAAATAGTCAGTGCTGCGGGTTCCACAAATATTGAATTTCGTTTAAAAGCATATGTTGGTTTGTTAGATAGCCAATTTTTCCTCAGTGGAGTGACCAATTTGTGAAAAAATACAAAATTAAATCAACTTTGCAATGAATCGTTTGAGATTTCAATTTATGTCTTAGATTCTTTGATATTTACTGCATAACAGTGTGGAATAATAATAGCCTTGCTTGGTACATTGAGCATTATAGATGTTAAGGTCTGTATAGTTAATTTAATATTAAAGTAGACGGAAAACCGTAGGCCAAAAATGTAATAACTTGGAATGTAGTCTAAAAAATTTGTCATATTTTTTTATATAAGAATATAAAAAATCACCTCAATCCTCTTTCTGGGACCGGAGAAAAATGAGAAAGTTAGTTTTTGTCGGTATAACGGTGTGATCGATTTAATTAATCGATTACAGGATTATAAAAAGAAAAACATTGCACTAGGTAATTAATGCAAAGTAATTAAATGAGCGATTTATACTTGTTGTATATAAGTGCGGTATGCGCCGGATTTAATTGCGATTATATACATAAATGAAGAAAAAGTATATTATTACTTAGCAAAGTAATATGATTATCGATTTCAAATCGATTAAAATCGATTGTATTTTTGATGACAGCTTTGACACTAAGCTGACATGGTGTTTGTTCATAGATTATATAATTATTTTTTGGCGCTTGTTGGTTTTTTCTGCTCTACTCGTTTTGTATCTTCGACGCATTTTGAGTGTGTATCTATCGGGCTGTTTTTATATTTTCAACGATCACTGCTTTATTATTACGAATTCCAACTCTGCCAGCCTTGTACGACAATTGCTTCTACACTGGACACCGAAAATCGCTCACACGTTTGACTTGAAATTGTTGCATTGGATACTGTTGAAATTATGGATCGCTGTGTGAATTGTGGGATAGCAATTCCATATTCCATACCTGATATATATCATTGATATTCATTCATAATATGACATTTAAAAGATTATCCAACGGATATAATAAACATTTATTTGTGCTTAAATAAGTTATTATTCAGCTCTTTTAAAGAGATTGCAACATAACCTAACTTTTACTAAATCTTTATTAACTCGGCTCTCAGATTGAGAAAACTTTTATAATTTTCAGCAAGGTATTGATAAATCTGAATTTATTAATTCATATTAGTTTCATCACGTTACATTCGGGCCCAAAAATGTATGTAATCGTTTCGGTCTCCTTTGCTAACATTTATGGTAGGCAGCGGCTTGGCTCTGCCACTGGCATTGCTGACGTCCATGAGCGACGGTGACCACTTACCATCAGGTGGGCCGTGTGCTCGTATGCCAACAAAGGCAATAAAAAAAAAATAACTTGCAGTGCTGAAGTGTTGTTTCCTATAATTCGTTACTCTTTATCCGGAAATTTCATTATTTTGGAAGAATCGCTTACCCAAAAAACAATTTGATCGAACTGAAGCATTCTTGAATTAATTTATTCGTG